AAAAAAAAAAAAAAAAAAAAAGAAAAAAAAAATTATTCGCCAAATCATTAAATTTTTCGTATTTTAATAATAAAACTATTTTAATGATAAGACTGTTTTTCCTCGTACATTTATCTACTTACCCTTTACTCCTTTCAACAGCTTCACAGCTGATGTTGTCGAAGAAAGATTTTGACTTGTCATAATGAACTATCTCAGGTTCTTCCTCGGGCTCACCTTCGCCGGCTCCTGTTTCATTACCACTATCATCTTTCTTTTCATTATCAGCACCAGCATCAATTTTCGTTTTTGCCAATTGAGATCTAAAATATATCGTATAAAAAGTCAATTTCAATCCATTTTCAAGTATCTTTTAAGTAAATAAATTTGTGTCATAAGTAATATGTGTTGGTGCGGGCGTAAGCAAAACATATTACAATATCTTGAAAATATGTTGCTTTAAAGACGCATAACATTAATTTTGCATGGCATCCACATACGTCATTTCAAACATACTTGAAACGAATCCGGCAGTCCATGCTATATGTATGTATGTATGTATGTATGTATGTATGTATGCATGTAATGCGTACCTCAATTCTTCAAACTCAGTATTAGCTTGTTCAAAGTCATAATCATTATCGAATTTCAGCGTATTCTTCGGTTTGGCACCAGCATTACCAGGTTGATTTCTAAAACCACCGCGACCTCTTCCTCTACCACGCATATTCCCACGATTCATCCATCCACCACGATTTCCTCGATTACCTTGAGCATGAGTACCTTGTCCTTGTAACTGACCATCTTGCTTCATTGCATCACGTTTTCCTTCATTATATTGCGATACAGCGCCTCCTGCCTTATTACCACTGTGGCTGTAAATAAAAGTATACAAATATTAGAAAAAAAAAAATATGTATGTTATAATATTTATTACCTATCATGATCACGTCGAGTTGGTTGAATAGTTCGCATATTTGTCTTTTCACCAAGTTTGCCAACATTTCCACCCTGTTGTTGCTGTTGCTGCTGTTGATGGCCTACTTGGATACCTTGATCCATAGTTGGACTTTTTCGTGTCAATAAAGAAGAAGTTGGAGTTGTTGACCGTGAACCTCCACTAATAAGATCTAATACACCTGTGCAAATAAAGTAAACAAACATGCATATTATATTCTGGACTACAAATAATACCAGTAATAATTCCAAGGTCAAATATTTATTTAAATATCTGATATAATATGGAGTATTGAAAAAAAGGAATTAAATTTTCAATTCTAACTCTAACCAAAGTATAATTGCAAAAATACTACATCGCATAGAAAACTAATCTCAAAACATGATTTCTACCTGAAATTTCAACTGTTCTTGCTATTATGTTACTTGCTAGTGCATAATGCTTATAACACTATTTCAATGAGATTTAAATGCATACTTTTAGAGAAAAATTATAAATTATAAATGCAATAAAGAAATTATCATGCATAATCTTTTAGTAGAATATAAAGATAACCAAATATGCATAGTTATGTCTTATAAGTAACAAATATATTGAAAGGAA